TGCCGGAGCTCCGGCTGCGCTTCGTAAGAGCTGGGTTATTTGGCCCAGAGGAGCCTGCCCGCGGGGACGTGTGCGTGTGCCTCAGGCATTCGTATGTCGGGCCGTGTATTCCTGCAGAAGGATTCCGGGGGGCCTTATATGTGACGTGGGGGTAGCGATACATGGCTGGGGCGTGAGGCATGGCCTGGGGAGGGATATGTCGAAATGAGGGAGTGATACGTGACGGTGGTGGGGTGATACGTGGCTAGGGTAGGGAGAATTGTGCATAGCGTGTTATTTGTTTTTCAGGGTCTGGAGAACATAGACTAAGAAGAACGCTGTTTGAAGAATCCCTATATCTATACAAAATGATTTAACTCTCTAATAAAGATAAATACATGTATTTAACTGTTGTATTTATATTGCCCATAAACTTTGAAGAGCATTACTTGCCTCATTTTATGCATGCTGCAGGGTCTATATGCTGCTCAGGTCTTAGCGTCTTCCTCTGCTTCCTTGTACATCTATTGAAAAAGCAGAAATACTGCAGAAAAAGAACATAAGCAGAATTACTCCAGATTTACATCATCACGAATAACAGCAAGTTCAGATCCAAAAACATGCATCTAAATTTCTCCACTGGTCAACAGAGCTATGACCAAATGTTTCCAACTGGGGCTATCGCTAGTCTCGAAGCAGAAGACACATTTTGGGTCACTGAGCGGAGACAGACAGGTCTGATGCTTCTCTGGGGACACTGTGTCCAGGCTGTAAGAGAAGACGCTGGCTGGGAGTCTCCAGCTGCTTGTGCTTTTAAAATGTGGTCAGTCCTGGTTTTGGCCTGTGACAAGCTTGTTAAGGTCCCATCGTTCTGAAGGACTAAAGATAGCTTGGCAATCAATGAAATACCAGCTCAAAGCACTTAATCATCAGCTAGTCAGCTACAGCACTGAAGGGAGACACGAGAACCAGAACTAAGAGAACCCCAGGAGCGCAGGAAATAGGTGAGAGAGGAAGAAGTGATCTGGGCATCAGGGCAGGAAAGGGAGGACGAAGATGGGATTCCCAGGCTCACACTTGCCTCGAGCACCTCTGCTAAGCTACAGCCAGGTGCAAAGCAAACCAGGGCTGCTTTAAGAAGGGCTTGTTATAATCCTTCCAGACACCAAAGAGGCTTTGAACAGTTCCTGTGAGACTTGTCACCCCTGGGTGAACGGGATTCAGCAAAGCCATAAATAGCAGTGTGTCTCCAGAGAGGATTTCTGTGCCTAGAGGAGGCTGTTTGCATCTCATGCTCCATCCTGGGCTGCGCTCGCCCTGCAGAGCACGAGGAACTTCTTCCTCTGCCTTTGAGACGTGACAAAGGAGCAGGTCTCGATGCCACACACGCACAGACAGCTCTTCAGGGATCTGCATCCCAGGACTTGCCTTTCTGCTCGTTCCAGCATAAGACCTTTCCACCAGCTGCTAAACCGTTTTCCAACCTGTTGACAAGCTCCCTCCACGTAGGCTTCCACATTTCTTTGGTTCTGAGGGTCCTTTTCTACCATCCGTTTTTTACTCCTGCGCTGACAGCTCTTCTTCCCAACTTTGTTAACATGGTGATGTCAAGCACAGAAAGCTCCAGTAAGGAAAGCAAAGCAAAGTTTACTAATGAGCAAAGAAAAGTTTCACCACCCTGTGTCACTATGAAACCTCTTCCTAGTAATTTTCTCGCCTCTTAGAAACCTAAACCAGCTTCCCATGGGTCTCACTACCTTCTTCCACATAACTTCAAGCAGTAGGCATCTCTATCAGACCGCAAGGAGTAGGATCTATGCTTCGCCCGTTTACTCCTGTAGCTGAACCCTTGTAACGTCCTCTTGTCCCTCCGGTTTTTGCTAGGGATTTAGCACCCGGCATGCTGCTAAACCGTTTCCAGCCTCTCTCCGTTAGCACCAGTGGTCCCTTCCCTTGAGCTGCCCTCCGCAGGGCTCCGTGTCCCAGGCACCCCGGTTCAGAGCCCACGGCACTGCTGCAACAGGAAGGACCGAGCCTGCGTTTTGCAGACAACGGGGTCAAAGGCAAGTTCAGTTCCCAAATTGCTGGGACTGGCAGAGATGTTACAATCAGAAAATCAGGCAGGGTCCTACATCTGCTTTCCTGCTAGTGTCTGCTTCCCCTTCTGTGAGCCTATCCCTGCCGGGAAGGCATCTGCCCAGCGGCCCCGGCCATCAGGGCCCGCAGCCCCCGGCCGCA